TGTATTAAATTTTCCTTCTGTTACTGAAAATCATGATTCTTGATAATAGTGATGGATAATGAAGGCAGAATAACGTACCTTGAAATATTACGTCTTTATAAACATTGTAGCATTTATAGGATTTTGTGTGGGGGGTGTAAAAAGGATTGGTTTGGGGAATGAAAAAATTAACACTTGATTTCATACAAAAAAATCATTAAACATTTAATCCTGATGTATCAGTTGGGGGGGGGGTCCTTTTAAATAGGTAGAAAGATGAATGTTCGTAGAGAAGTTTCCCATGGTGAGGGCGACTCCCAACTGTCCTCTTGCTGGTAAAGACGATGGTTTTAAATGGACAACAAGATGATTATTTTGTTATACACTATTCCCTCCATTCAGTCTGGAAATTACTTTGGGCCAAGCATGATATAACTCCTCTGGTACCTTTCCGCCATATTGATTGGGTTACGTTATTTAGCTAGTATGTTAATTTTGAAACATGTTGAGGTAGTTACTTACTTGAAGTAGTCCAGGAAGGTCTTGCAATCAGAGATGGTGTAAACAAGATGTGGACCAAGTAGGTTCTCCTGTTCAATATTTGGTAGTTAATGGTGTTCGAGGTTGAAATTCTCGGACAGATGCGGAGAGAGGTGTGGCTACAATGGTCTTTACATTTACAAAGTCGTTTTTTATATTCTACTATTGATATTCTTTTCTACCTCATTAATTTCGCTGCTTCAGTTTTATGTACTTCTTTCATGGTGTTCCAATCTCTTTGTACACCTATAATAACTTTTCGATTTTGTCTTAAATTAAATTTAGTTCTGTAATAGCTTTTTGATCTTGTCTTAAATTAAATTTAGTTCTTAATTGTTTATTACATTTTACGCCTTTCTGTTCACTTTTCTCTTAAATTCCTGACTTCCCGTCTCTTTCTTCTTGCTGTTCTTTTAATATTCTACCTTTTTTCTTGGTTACCTTTCTACTGTTTCATAATTTCCAACAAATTTTCAATCTCGCTCCGAGTACATTTCGTTATTCTTAGCATCTAATCTTGTTTCTTTTATTTTTTATCCAAACAACCCCACTTCTAACACCAGTGTTGTAATAGTTTGTATTGTTGGGTGGGTAAAGATAATGCAACGTCAACTATTGTATTGATATTAGTGTATAACTAGATATCTTGTATTGATATCAGTATATACACACATCTATTGTGTTATACATATACATCTACGAATGCCATACTGGAGACCCATGTACATGATATAATGATGCTCATTTCGTATCTATTTCAGATATTTGAGCTTTGATAATCTAGTAACAGGGGTTGTTTTTATTAACTTAGAAGTGTTTTCTATTTCATTTTATTTTATTAGTTGCTGTTTTTTGGAACATCATATAAAACAATGAATATTTTGTTTATATTTTATTAGGTGCTGTTTTTTGGAACATCATATAAAACAATGAATATTTTGTTTATATTTTATTAGGTGCTGTTTTTGGAACATCATATAAAACAATGAATATTTTGTTTATATTTTATTAGGTGCTGTTTTTTGGAACATCATATAAAACAATGAATATTTTGTTTTTATTTTCGTCACTTCTTCTTCTTCTTCACTCCTTCTCTTGTCAAAATGAAGATGACAAAGGTCGCGGAGTTTATAGAGAAGAATATACTTTTCCTAGTGGTTTACTAACCGAAGATACTTTTTTAAAAAAGACAACTAACGAAACAAGTGAAGCTGATTACTTGCATCCAGTTCCCGTTAGGCGGCGCCAAAGAAAACGTCTTCTTGTTCAAAAATCGTCTGCCGAGACCATTTCTCCTGATCTTCCCAAGCCAAGAGAAATCAAGCCATCACAAGAGACCTCGGCCAAACAAGGCTCTCAGAACCCACCACAACACATAGACGTGACTCCACGAGGAAATCACAGACAAGTAGATAGAAATTACGAGAACTTGTCAGGGCAACACACTGAAAAGCCTAGACATCATAGACAACACTTGGAAAGTGAAGGATATGATGGGAAATATTTTTACAGTAAATGTTTTTATTTTATTTTTATCTAATCTTATGTCTTCCATCAGTAAAATTATTATAACAATAAAATATAAAATCCTATTAAAATGATGTTAAAATAACACCTACAACATTCTATTAAACTGGTGTTACAATAACACCTGTAATACTGTATTAAAGTGGTGATACAATAACACCTGTAAAACTGTATTAAAGTGGTGTTACAAGAAAACCTATAACACTGTATTAAACTGATGATACAATAACACCTGTAATACTGTATTACAGTGTTGTTACAAGAACCCCTATAACACTGTATTAAACTGATGATACAATAACACTGCATTAATACGGTGACACCATAACACCTACGAACCAATGCATTCTAATTATTAAAAGTAAGAACGCTATATTAGATTACCAAGGTTGATTTCTGGTTCTAATATATGTAGTAGCTTTCTTTGAATAGAAGTAAATATTAACTTTCATCTCCATGAAATGTGTTTTATAAAACTGAAAAAAACAGTATCGTTGGGTTCAACAAAGGCCCTATTATGGGGATTAGGGTTAAGAACTAAGCCTAGCGAGTAGCGCATTGTTTATGTCAGTCTTTTCCCAGTTTCTTTAGACTGTGATGCAACTGCCATGACCGTCACTGCCCGTAGTCCAGATCCCTTTCGCGGAAGAATTTTCATCAAGGATCATGGTCAAAAACCTGGTTGCCAGATGACCGGAGGAGGCGCGTTTGAGGGTTCACTGAGCATACCTTACAACAATCCAAATTGTGGTGTGGTTGATTTGGTGAGTTATTCATATTCTTATTTTTTTATTGCTATTGATCTTACCGTTATAGTGATTAAACATGCTGACCAATACAATAAATCTATAATGAGATGGGGACTATTTGGAGACTGGTTTCATTGTTGCAATTCCCATTGTTAACTTTGATTTATTTTTTAGTTTTGTTTTTTGTTACGTATTTGTATTTATATTATTTTATAACAATACTGACAGGTCTTTATTGTTTTAATTATTAAGTGTTTATTCTTGTAATTTTAATCGTTAATAATGCTCTTTTATTATTCTTAAAAAGTCAAAGTACACTTTAGTTGTTCGCTTTTCTATTTCATGTTTCAAAAATACCTTTAGTCTAGGCCCTAAATAATTGATGTTTCAGGCTCAGTTCCATCATTTCAAAGTCTTGCGTTAAGTACGTCTTTTCCTTCTTCTTTAAATCGAATATTGAGGAGTAACAGTGGTTCTTCCACGTACTGTATAGGCGTGGTCTACATATTCATTCTATACGCCAAAGTCCTCGCTAAGCCTTTAGTTTACCGAGAAAAAAGTAAACAAATATTTGAAAGTGTGACAAAGTTGATTAATGGTTGAACTTTTAAACTTTTTACAAACGGTTTCTAATTAAAACACATATAGGTGTTTATTTCTGGTACACAATTATTACCATTGTTACTGGTTTCCCAGGGTAACGGTACCTTGATGACAAAGGTTGTCATCCAACGTCACTCACATATTATGATGAAGGACGACGTGTCTTACAAGTTGTTATGCTCTTTTGACACCAAAGATACTATCGTAACCAACAGCATAGCTGTAGAGTAAGTTGCTACCGCCATCTGGCGATTATTGTTTATTGTATTTAATATATGTTATTATAAAGGGAAGAAAGTCCAGCTTGTTAGAAAGACAAATTAGGTAAAAAAAATTACCTAGGAAGTAACCTGTACATTAGAAAAGAATAATGCTGGTTAGTCCTAAGATCTTATTTTTATATTAATAGAAGTTATTATTTAATTTTATTGAAACTTTTAAAGCATGTTATAACTACATTTTTGTATATAATCGCAATTTTGTTTACATTGTAAATTATCGATATATAATTTAAAATGGTAACTGATACAAACCTTTATACAGTATTTTTCAATGAACTGATCACGTTTTAATCATAATGGTTATTAATTCGTAGGCATCTCGAGTGGTCACGGTCTTTAATTAATTAATAAGATGATTTAATAGAAGTTTTATTAATTGTTTTATTCAGTCTCATTCTTCCTTAAACAAGTAAGATTTAACTTAAATATTTTCAGTGGTTATTTCAGTTTTTACTTATTTATTGTATCTAATGCCACGCTTCTTAAACCAATCAAAAACCAGAACCACGCCTTTAGCAGAAATAAATATATCATTCTATAGCAGACTGTGGTGACATTAAATATCATTATATTTTACCATTTGATCATTATAGGACATATCTTTAGTCAGACATACTCAGTTATTAGTTCTCTAAATTTCTTTGTAGGTGTTTTGCATAAGTTGCGACATCTATAGTTATAAAAGTGTCTGTTTGAATGCCCATATCGAAAATTTTCAAACTTCCTGGTCTCTGATTATCAAGAAACTTCCAGGGGTTCTTTTGCTCCACAAGGGTTCTAAAGTTCCTCAATTTATCAATTTTTACGATTGTAACAGCCATTTTAAATGAAGTTTCTAAATAACAATAAGTTTCATTTTAAATTTGTTTTTCATTTAAGACAAGAATTAATAGAGCGACCAGGGGAGATTGTTTGTTTGTTGTTAAGCGCAAAGCAACACAGTGGACTATCTCTGCTGTGCCCACCACTGGTATCGAAACCCGGTTTTTAGCGTTATAAGCCTGCAGACTTACCGCTGCAGGTTTATAATAATAATTATAATAAAACTTGTCTTCTAGTGGGCGAACTCTAATAGACCAAAGTTCATCTCATCTTGATTTCCTGTCCCTTATTAATTCACAAACTGAAATACACGTCAACTAACGGAGAATGTTGAAAGTTAATTAAAACAGTGTAAGTTTAACAGCAATCATATATTTCAAAGTAATAACTTGAACATAAACTTTATCTCAAAATTTAAAAATTATAACAAAGCTTCTTCTTAAACAACATTTGCAGCCTGCTTTCCATCTACCAACAAATAAAGATTTTGGGATGATCCCACCCTACATATTATAGACCTGATCCCACCCTTGAACACCCTATATCTCATAGACCTGATCCCACCCTACATATTATAGACCTGATCCCACCCTTGTACACCCTATATCTCATTGACCATGAGAAAAGCATGGTTGTTTGAGAAACGATCCAGCAACCATCATACTTTGACCTTGAATTCCTTTAGAATATTCAACATTGTCTAAAGCGCCAACCTGCCAAGATAAGTTTCCTCACAAGTAGTTTCGAACTAGAATTATTTAAAAACTTCCACACTGTGAAGGACATGAATACTTGGGATTTTGCAAGTTACGTAGCTTTTGATTTAAGAATTCAAATATGATATTGTTGCGTCAGCGAGTCACATGACTAGTGTGACGCCACGTTTCTAGAACTATCCCGTATCTTGGCGAATGCTCTAGTATTTACTAGATAGAGGGTGGACTGGTATATAAATGAAGGGTGACAAC